TACGGTTCGCAGCCCGATTCGTAACCACTACGCTACCAGAGCTCCTTATATATATATATAGTTGTTGTTAAGTGCCATCAAGTTGGTTCTGACCCATAGTGACCCTGTATAGGCTTTCTGAGGAGCAGCTGGTGAGCTTGAACCGCCAATCTTGCAGTTCAAATGGCTTTGCAGTCTGACGCATTAGCCCACAGAGCCACACCAGGACTCTAAAATAAATATATGTAGAGAGAGAGAAATAAAATAATTTAAAGGTCCAGCAGCATTTCCCTACCTGTCCAGGGGTCCAATCTGTCTGCCGGCTTAGGGAAGCCACTGTGTCGATGGAGCTGAGATCCAGTTGCTCCAACTCACTCTCATTCAGAGCCAGAGCTATGCACCCCAGGGAGACAATATGGTGCTCTCTCCAGTAAGAAGGCTGGTCCCAAACCTTCAATTGAAAAAGAGTCAGCTCAAAGGGAACATCAGTGACAACACTGGAAACAGACACAATATATACAAAGCTCTCTTAAAAATCTTTAAGAACAATCATAGAATGCCATGTTGACCCATCCCATTGACAAGGAGTGAAAAAGTGATTGTGAAGGTAAAGGAGACTCATTTGACATCACTGAGACATGTTTTTTGTATATCATGTCACATGCTTTTTGGAAAGCAATTTGGCTATACAAGGGGGCTTTTAAAAGTTCTTAGAAAAAGTCCTTTATCTTGTCATTCTATTTTTCTATGAACTTTTTGCAACCTCTCATGTATCTTTAAAAGTTTTGAAAATATTTATACTCCTTGATTCAGAAATTCTGCCTCCTGATTTGGCCTAAGAAAATAATGGAACAAGAGCCCAAAAATATATGTAGAAATACATTCTCTTTGGCATGAGAAAAAAGGCAAACAACATAAAAATTTAACAATTGGCTAAATAAATAAGATTCAATCATATGGAAAAGTATGCTCTGGAAAGCAGGTTAGACAATGGTAGGAGAACGTGATACGTTGTTGTTGTCAAGTGCCGTTGAGTCATAGTAACCCTGTATATGGTTTCCAAGGAATGGCAAGTGACTGGGGGATTTGAACCACCAACCTTGTGGTTAGCAGTCCAGTGCTTATCCTAGAGCACCATATCCTAGAGACAGAGAGAGAGAGAGAGAGCGCGTCCTGGTGTAGCATTGTGGGTTAATGTGCTGGGCTGCAAAGTTGGTTTGAACCACAAGGTTGGTGGTTCAAGCTCACCAGTCGCTCCTTGGAAACCCTATACAGCGTCACTATGGATCGGAACTGACTCGACAGCACTTAACAACAACAACGTGTTTATATATGTGTTTGTGTACCTGTGTTACATACAAAGTAATTTTATATGTGAAATATATAAATATATTTTACACACATAAAGCTATATACTAAAATATTAACAGTACATATCTCTTGGTAAAGGGTTATGACTGATTTTCTTCTTTGTTATTTTCTGACTTTTCTCCAGTAAATCTGGACTACTTATTTTTAAAAAAAAAAACAACCAGAGTTACAAATATAATTTTAAAGATTCTCACTTTTTTTAATCTCAGTACAACTAACTATCCTAACAGCTAGGAGTCAATGCAAGCCACTAAAATGAACTTTTAAAAAATGAAAAACTACTTCTGTTCTCTTTTTATTTCTTTCTACCACATTTCCAGATAAATCTGCAGTCAATTCAGAGACTACCTGCCGCAATCAGGAGTTGGGCTTTTCCAAGTGGAGGGAGAAACGCCACAATCCCTGGAACCTTCATGGTCAGAGGCACCAGGCCATGCACAGAATCTGATTTACTGCACATCCACCATGTGCCTGGTGTGGCGCTGTGGGTTAATGCGCCAGAATGCAAAGCCATTTGAACTGCAAGGTTGGTGGTTCAAGCTCACCAGCTGCTCCTCGTAAACCCTATCCAGGGTCGCTATGGGGCGGAACCGACTCAACAGCACATAACAACAACGCCACCATGTGCCAAGATCCAGCACTGTCTGCCTAAGAAGTGGCTCTAGAAACTTCCCTGCTTCTTGGATGAGGAAATCATGTAGTGAAATTTTACCAAAGTGCTGCAAGATAATTCACTGGACCACAAGGTTGTTTTGAACTGCAAGGTTGGTGGTTCAAACTCACCAACTACTCCTAGGAAACCCTATACAGGGTCACTATGAGTCGGAACTGACTCAATGGCACTTCACAACAACAACACTGTATGTACACACCCCCTGAGGAGGGTTCTGTTTATGCACAGAAAGGCTGTGGTGTGGGATTTCCCCCAGTTAATGCTTTCCCCTCTGACGTGGCCTCTACCTGTATCGCCTTCTCCTTCAGGGTCATCAGCTGAGGCTGGCTGAAAGCCTTGAGTGTGCCTAGCAGCTCCACGTTCCTGAGAAACGTGTCCTCTTCCATGCAGAGCAAGGCATCCAGGGACCAGCAGGCATTGGCTTCGGCCAACTTGAGGATATCACTGGAAGACGGAGCTACAACTCCATGACAACCTGAGCATTAGGAAGGGAGGAAATCAATTTTCAGGCATTTTTTTCTTGTTATTAAGAACATACATAGTGAAAACAAGAAAACAAACTATCCACTGCCATTGAGTAGATTCCAACTGACAACAACCCTATGTAGGGTTTCAGAGGCTATACAGCTTTATGGGAGCAGAAAGCCTCATTTGTCTTCCATGGAGTGGCTAATGGATTGGAACTGCTGACCTTCTGGTTAGCAGCCCCACACATAACACCAATTCAACCATTTTTACATGTACCATTTGGTGGTACTGACTACATTCTTCAAGTTATGTAACCATACTCGCTGCCTTCTTTTTCAGTTGTTCCTTCCATTAACTTGAACTCACTGACCACTAGGTTTCCTATCTAATCTTTTCAATTGCTGTTGTCAGTTTAATCCCACATAGATAGATCTTGAAACAGTTCATAAATTCAAGGCAGACATTCTTTATTAGTTGAACCAAACTATCATTTTGGAGTCCTGGTGTGGCGCTGCGGGTTAATGCATTGGACTGCAAGGTCGGTTTTGAACCTCAAGGTTGGCACTTCAAGCTCACCAGCTGCTCCTCTAAAACCCTACAGAGTGACTATGAGTCAGAACTGACTCGACAGCTCGTAATAACAATACCAAACTGTTTGGTTTTAAGATGACTTCAGGGGATATTTGTAGTTTAAGGTTTAAAGATGATCTCAGGGAAATAGTTTCAAGGATTCATCCAGCCTCTGTAACTCCAAAAAGTCTGGAACCCATGAGAATATGAAATTCTGTTCTTGATTTCCCCTCTTTTGATCAGAATTATTCTATAGAATCTTTGATCCAAATGTTTCATAATGGTAATGAGACCATCTGGCCTCATAGCAAAGGAAGTCATTGCGTATGGAGGCAGTGAGCCATACATGGTATCTTCTCCTTCTAGTCCTGACTCTCCTTCCTCCTTTGCTAGAATAGAAGCCATATTCTTCTCCAACTAGTGTCACAAGGTCAGCAGAGTGTAGAAGCTGAAAACAGCAGGGACTTGGTGCTCAGCAAATACTTGAATGAACACACACACATTAACAAAACTAAAGCCAACAGTAATGTCTACTAATTCATTCATTAGTATAGTGTTGCTGTTAAGTGCTGTCAAGTCCGTTCTGACCCTTAACGACCCTGTATAGTTTTTCTGAGGAGCAGTTGGTGAGTCTGAACCGCCGAACTTGCAGTTCGAACCCATCTTGAGATCGAGAGGCCTCGGACCCTCGCTTCCTGCCAGCCCCTCCAGAGAAACATGGCCAACCAGCACAAATACCTGACTCGTGCTCTTGAGAGGCACTCGGTCAGGTCCACCCGACGTTTCTTCGGAGACCTAGGTAGACCAGTGAACCGCAGGTATCGGGCGACCATGGGGGCACACGGCATTCTGTCAGGGACTGTCTCTGTCCAGACTGCCTAGTCCTCATCTGCATCTCCCTGGCTCAGCAACTGTTCATGTGTCTGCCCACTTTTTTTTTTACCTCCTCCTTTCTTGTCTGGGGTTAGCTTCTCCAGTGTGTGCACCTGCGCCTGTCCTACAACGCCACGCCAGTACTCCTCATTAGTAGAAGGACAACAGTAATTAATAACCAAACCAACTTAAGAATATGCACTGCACAGCGTTTCCTCCCCGCAGAGTATGTAAAGTCTAATTTGTGAATACCTACATGCACCAGCAAAGGAGCTCGGGTAGTAGTGATTATGAATCGGGCTATGAACCACAAGGTCAGCAGTTTGAAACTATCAGCTGTTCCACAGGAGAAAGATGAGGCTTTCTGCTCCCTAAAGATTTACGGCCTCTGAAACCCTGTATAGGGTCAGAACCGACTCCACGGCACATAACAACAACAACACACATGCACCAGCAGGACTGAATTGTTAGGCCTTCATGAGTAGTCGGAACTGAGACAGACCAGCCCCAGCTTTGGGTATAAGCTCCAGACCTGCCACTTGCTAGCCCTGTGATTTTAGTCAAATCCTGAAAGCTCTCTAGCTCTCACTTTCCTTCACTGAGAAGCTATAGTGCCCACCTAGAGGACAAAAGGATGAGACAATGCTGTGAGAGATGATTCCCCAAGGTAAACCCAAGTGGGACCAAAGGTAAACCCAAATGACATTTCCTTGATCAAACACATCCCCCACCGACAACCCAGATACTCGTTCCCCAGAAACACTCACCAGGGCTGGGGTCAGAGTTGGGGCTCTCATCACTGCTGCTACGAACAGATTCGAAGACAGCCCAGAGAAATTCTTTTGGGGGTAGGGTCCTGGTCATGCTGGAAGCTGTTTGTTGAAAGATATCAGGGAACTGTGTGGAGGAGGGTAAATGAAAGAGGGAAAAATAATAAAGTCCATGGCCACATCGAGTTTAGTCAGAAATCAGAGTGTTTCAATTGTAACACTAGATATTCATTGATGTGTTTGGTTTTCTTTTCTTTATAGCAGTTTCTGGTATAAAGTTAATCCCTAGCCCAACTAACCTGGTCTGTACAGAATCCTATAATAATCCTCAATAATAATTCAATCAATGCTAAATAACACAAAGACGCATTATCTTCCACCCATCTGATTGTCAAAAACAAAATAAAGTGATAATACCCATTCTTATCAATGGAGAAAAGATTGAAGTTGTCAAGGACTTCATTCTTCTTGAATCAACTATCAACACTCACGGAAGCAGCAGTCAAGACATCAAACGACATATTACATTACGCAAATCTGCTGCACAACACCTTTTTAAAGTGTTGAAGAGCAAATATATCAGCTTGAGGACTAAGGTGCGCCTGACGCAAGCCATGGTATTTTCAATAACCTCACATGCATGCAAAAGTTGGACAGTGAATAAGGAAGACCATAGAAGAGTTGATGCTTTTGAGTTATGGTGTTGGAAGAGAATATTGAAAGTGCCATGGGCTGCTAAAAGAACCAACAGATCTGTGTTGGAAGAAATGCAGCCAGAGTGCTCCTTGGAGGCCAGGATGACCAAACTTTGTCTCTCATACTTCAGACATATTGTCAGGAGGGACCAGTCACTGGAGAAGGATATCATGATAGGTAAGGTAGAAAAAAAAGGAGGAAGTCCCCCCAGGGAGATGGATTGGTGAAATGGCAGCATCAATGGGCTCAAGCATGGTAACAATAGTGAGGTTGGCCCAAGATCGGGCAGTGTTTTATTCTGTTGTGCATAGGGTCACTATGGGTCGGTACCAGCTCGATGGCACCTAACAACAACAACAAAACCCAGTGCAGGCTAAGATGTGGGAAAGATACACATTCAGTTTCTGTGGGACTATTCAGTGCTGTATCATTGAGGACAATTTGATAATACCTACCAAGAATGTAGATATTTGGTGCTGTTTTTTAGTTTTGTACTGTTTTTCAATTTTATATTTATCATTACAAGGAGGAGAACTTCTGGAGTCAGGGTGAGATCAGCAACAAGAGGCTTCTGATTACCCTGGAGAAGGTACTATTTCTCAACTATAACTAATGCACTTTGTTAAGACTTAAGGTCTTTTTGAAGACCTGCCCACACACCCAGATCATTAAACAAACCTCATACATCTAACTACATGCCACTATTTCCCAGGTACCACTCAGATTATAGTTCATCTTTCTATTCTAGAACCAAGATTCAGAATTAGAGTCACGGTCTAAGACAGGAGTTCCCAACCCTGGTTGTCTACGAGAATAACCTGGGGACTCTATAGTCCCCCAAGGCCCACCTCCAGAGATTCTGGCTTGTTCTGTAACTAAATCGTCCCAGGTGAATCTTTATTATTGTTGGAAAAATACAAATAACATAACATTTACCATTTTAACATGTTTCATATGTACAGTCAGTGAGGCCAGAGATGCTAATAATGCTGGGCAAATATCAACACTGTCCATTGCCAATGCCAACAACCCCAACAACAACAACAACAACAAAAAAAAATACATAGGGATGTATAAGGAAAAAATACCATTTCCCCGTCTCTCCCACCCCTAGGAACCATTGTTAAACTCTGAACCCTATCCATTTGCCTACTGTTGTTGTTGTTGTTGTTATGTGCCAGGGAGTCAGTTCCGACTCATAGCGACCCTGTACAATGTTTCCGAGGCTGTAAATCTTTATGGGAGCAGAAAGCCTCATCTTTCTCCCACAGAACAGCTGGTAGTTTCAAACTGCTGACCTTGCGGCTCGCAGCCCGATTCATAACCACTACACTACCAGAGATACTTATTTGCCTACTGTTGGTATTTCCTATTAGTGAGATCAAACAATACCTGCCCTTCAGCAATTGACTATAATGTGCAGCTAAGGTTGCATGGAACTGCTCTAAGATAAGTATTTCACTTGTAAAAGCAACATATGTAGAAAAATGTATGACACTTTTCATTTCATGTATTTTAAAGGAAGAGCTTATATAGACGTGGGTAGGATGCTTCTGAAAGAAAGCAGAATTCAGAGACAGCAATTGTCTCTGAGGAGATGGGCTGGAAAACTGGAAGTGTCAGGTGGGAGGAAGACTGGCTTTGGATGTAGTGGGGATTTGCTTTAACTAGGAGCTTGCATTGCTTGTTTTATCAAACATTTCAGGCATAAAAAGGTATAGCGAATAAGTCAACAAGACAGCCATGTGCCCACCACCCAGCTTAAGAACTGAAACACCACAAATGTAACTAAAGACTCTCTCTGTCTCTCCCTCACTTTTGGCCTCCCACCTTCCCAGATGTAACCATGATCCCGAAGTTGGCATTAATCATTCTCAGGAATGCATTCAAGTTCTCTTACATTGGTATGAAATTCTAAGCAAAACAGAATTGTTTAGCATGTGTTTAAACTGTGTAGTGCTGTAGGATCAGCACTGCACTGCAAACCACAAGGTTGGCAGTTCAAACCCACCAGCTGCTCCTCGGAAACCCTATACAGGGTCGCTACGAGTCGGAACTTGACGGCATTTAACAACAACAACAAGAATCTTACTACGTAAGTATCTTACATGTGCTTTTGTTTCTCATTTTTCTTTGATTCCATACTTTTTGAGATTTAATCATGTGGATGAGTAGCTATTTCAATTTTAAAGCTTCACTCAGGAAGACTGGACACCAGAAAGTCATTTCATTATAACTGGAGATAAGAATGCAAGTGCAGCATGTATGAGTCTGGGCGATATACCATGTACTCAGGCCTTGCTGAGCATACATGACACCGTGTGTCTTTGTGTGTACAAGCAGTGTATAGGTGTGCCTTGTGGTGGATTTGATTGTCCTTCAGCAAATAGTCAATACTTCCCCAGGCTCCACCAGGGGAAGGAGACTACGTCCTATCTTGTTAATGGTGGAGTTGATCATGTGACTTGCTTTGGCCAATGGAATGTGATGAACATGATAGCATGCCAATGCCCTGGCTAGACCTTAAGGAGCATGGCACTTTGTCACTCCCCTTCCCTGGAGTCTCAGATCTTCATGGTGAGAAGAACAAGCCTCAGGTAGCCCAGGGCCCAGAGACACCCATGGAGCCAGGCTGCCCCTTCAACCCACAGACCAGTCGGCAAGCAATACATGCTTATTGCTGTATGCCAGTGAGACTGTGTGGCTGTCAGGCAGCCCAAACCTGAGCTAACTCACGCTTGTTTTGCATGTCTGTGGGCTTAGATCATCTAATTCTCCACACAACCCCAATAGAGTGCTGGGCCTGGATCCATGCTCAAAAACGATGTGTTTTTGGATGAAATGTGTTTGTACCTGTGATTATACTCACTGAACATACATATGTGTGTGGATGCAAGACGACTGAACAGGCACGTGGGGTAGGGAGGTGGGGGATGCGCCCAGACAGTAGCACTATAGCAAAATGACAGCCCCCAGATTGGGCACATTTGTGTGGAGGGCCATGGGAAAGGCCTACGATCTGTTTAGCTGTTACCTCAGCCTCTTTTTCTGAGCCTTGGGTATCCTGGATTAGAACTGGGAAGACGTTTCCAGGACTACTGACTGACAGTAAACCTAATGGAGCATAATTGGTCACATTTCTTGTCCCTTCAAATTTCTTCAGCCTTCCTAAGACGTACCTTTGTGGTGATGGAGCTTAATTCCTTGCCTGAGAAAAGTACTAGAAAAGGTCCCAAGTCCTTTGTGGTCTCGGCTGTCCAGTTCCGAGGGAGTCTAAGGAGAGAAAATAAGCAGTAAAACCAAATAAAATTTTAATAAATATCTGATGTCTTTCTCCCTCTTGACTCTTTTATAATTAGAGCATATTTATACCTGAAGAGGTTACTACACGGTCCCACACCCTTGACCAAGAGTATGGGTGTAGGTGTATGATGCAAGCTGGCCAATCAGAATCATCCCTAGAAGTTTCGATAGAATTACCAGAGAAGTTCTGGGTTTTTCTGAGATTTCTAACAGTAAGGAATATTTGAGGGGAAATTCTTGCCACTAAGTGGAGAAAATTAAGTCCACACAGAGCGGAGAGATAGAACACAATCCTGCTGATATCCCATGAGCCCCTGGATCAAGTCATTCCTGAAGTCCATCCCAGGAGTTTTTCATTACATTTCATTTCTGAACTCAACAAATCGCCATTCCTTTATAGTTTGAATTGCATTTCTGTCACTGACATCACAGTGTTTTCTTCCTTCTTCAATAGAATGGTAACAATACATATCTTTTAAATTAGGAAGACATATCTTTTCCTGAAATATGTCAAAATTTCCTCTTGAATTTGGTAGGGAAAGCCTGACATTGACCCAGTATCTACATGTGTCTTATATGAGGCTCAAATGTCTAAAGTAACATGCATCACATGGTGACTCTAAAGGCAGTCTGCCCAGTTAGCAGCAAAAGCCCCTCTCTAGGACAGAGGCAAACCACCCCAACCAAAGAGGCATATTCTTTTATTTCCTTGATAAGACATATTAGCCCACTAAACTGAAAGCTCTGTGAGGGCAGAAACCACACCTGTCTTAACAACAATTGACTTTCGGGCACTAGGGAGGGTAGCCATCATTGTCACACACTCAGTGCTATGTGGCTGGCCCACATCCTCTACATGTACTAACTCATTAGATCATCATAACCCTCTGGGGATTATCACTGCTCCCACTGTACAGATGCAAACGTAAAAGTGAAAACTGTAACTTGTTCCAGGTCCCAAAGCCAGTTGGAAATACTAAAAAGATGTTAAGGAGTCCTGCTCTGGAGTTCATATTCTTAAACTCTATACAGTAGTTCAGTGTTTATATTATTATACAAAAATAATAAACAGAGCACCTCAGGAGACCTGGTGGCACAGTGAGTAAGCACTCAGCTGCTAACTGAAAGGTCATTGGCTTAAACCAGCCACTCTGCTGGAGAAAGATGTGGCCGTGTGTTTCTATTAAGATTTACAGCCTTGGAAACCCTACAGGGTAGTTGTACTTTGGGTCAGTATGAGTCGGAATTAACTCACTGGCCATGGGTTTTGTTGAGTATCTGGGACAATATTCGTTATCTAACGATTGACTGGTTCCATTCAAATATCCCACCAAAGCTCAGAAACCCCTACATAGGGAAGAAGAATCCTGTTTTCTCCCAGGAAGCGCTCAGTCACCATTACTTGCATTGGCTTCAGCAACATCCAAAGCATCATTTTATTAAATTATACAAACACTAATACCACCGCCTTACGTTTGCAAAGCACCATCTTTCAAAACTCTTTCCTGTCCATCATGCCAAAGTGTCCTAGCGTCTTACATTAGGCTGGGCTGGCAGAACATCTACTATTGCTCTCACTTGGAATCTGAGACAAGGTGAATCACATCTGGGTGTCCCTTAACCCACCACACCCACAGCCATTGGCCGTGGTTCTCACCCATGCTGCTCCAGGAGCCTGCGTCTCACCGCAGCCTTCTGCTCTGGGCTGAGGTCTACACAGTCTCTGAGGTTGTGCAGGGCAGTGGCCCAGGCCCTGGGAGTGATCCCTCGATCAATGATGGCTGCAGGCAAGTGGCAGAGCAGGTTCCCCACCATGTCCACAGCGTACTCATCAGCAATGGAGTTGTCCTGAAACCCACAAGTGAAACTCATGAGAAGATACAGTAGGGCTCAAGATCATGATTCCTTAAAATACTTCCAACCGCAAACCTTATAAAACTTCTGGGATCTGAGTTGATTACTGTGTCATGGTTTGGTGTGAGATGGTGCAGGCTCTGATTTCACCCTGGGTCGCGGGCCTCAAGAGTCTGGAAAACCCCAGTGGGGAGCACTTATGGACCAGTCTTGGCATATCATGAATACTCAATAAATCTGGGTGATTCTCATCAATACTTTATTAGTTTAGGGATATTCCAGATTCCAACAACCATGATAGTAATTGTTGTTGAGTGTTGTCACATCAGTTCCAACCCATAGTGACCCTATATAGGATTCCTAAGGAGCATCTGGTGAGCTTGAACTGCCGACCTTGCAGTTCAAACCGACTTTGCAGTCTAGCACATTAACCCACAGTGCCACACGAACAATAATAGTAACAGCACCTCAAACTTTAACAAGCACTTGAAAAGCCTTCAAAGCTTTACCTCAAAATGACAAAAATAGCTTTCACTGAAGGTTTTCTACGTGACAAGTCTAGACTCAGTCATCCTCAAATGACTAAATGACATGGGTGTTGATATCATTTTGTCTCCTCAGTCCTGCTACAAGACAAGTGCCAATGCACCCATCTTCATGATGAGGAGACGCTGGTTCAAGGAGGAAAAATGGCTTACCCAAAACTACATAACTAATCATTAACAAAAGCATTCTGGAATCCAAATCTAGAATCCAGACTCGAGTACAACGCTCTTTCCAATCCTCTAGCTCTAAAGCAAGCTCTTCTCATCTAGGATTGGGAGTCTCCAAAACCAACAGTCAGGACTGTGTCAACCAGAACCTTTGGATCCAGCTCTGAAATCCCAAGCTAGACCTCCAGCCATCCCAGAAGGTTCAAGATCCCACCCACAGCCCGCTGAGGGTTACCCAGGATGTCTGCCCACGGACACCAGAGAAAGTTCCACCCAGGAAGAGTGTCCTTACCAGGCACTGCTGTACTTTCCTGAGGACAGACGTCTTTTTGTGGGAATCTAAAACCAGGGAGTCCAACTGACGCTTGCCCAGGCTTATCACAAAGGGCACACACTGGGAAGCTGGAACTGACGCCAGGTAGCGGGCCCTAGAGAGAGAGGAGAGCAGGAGGAGGGGAAGCTGGCTGCTCTGAACTCACCTTTGAAGTCAGGGCCCATATGCGCAGAGTAGGTCACAAAGTGTTATTTAAATGTTTTTCTCCTCAATGATTTTTTTTCTTAACAATTTATTTTATTTTATTGTTGTTGAGAACAAATACAGCAAAACATAAGCCAATTCAACAGTTTCTACCCGTACCCTTCAGTGGCATTGAATACAGGCCACTCATCAGCACTTCAGTGTGGTGAAACCATTCTCTCCCTCCTTTTCCGAGTCATTCCTTTCACATTCACAAAGACTCTCCCCAGTAATTTTTGTGGCTCCCTTTTGGCAGGCAGCGAACCTCCCACCCATCTTGCTCTTCTTTTTCTTCCACGGCAGGAAACAGATTTCCCATCATGCTCCTGTTCTATGTCCCAGCAGCCTGGATCAGAGAATGGTCTCCCCACAAACCTATGTCGACTGGTGGACTAATTGATGGAAGGTGAAGGGAAACATGAAAAGAAAGAGGAAAGAGACTAAAATAAAAATTAAGGAAGAAAGTTGAGGAGATAGTGGAGAGAAGCAAGAGTCCAGGCTCCCAATCGCAACATCTAAAGTCCAGAACTTTCCTTTATGCTCTTTGCCATGTCTAGCAACAGGGTCAATGTGGTCTCGTATAGGAGGGGAGAAAACTGGTTCTTCCCTCTTCCAGCTACTCTGCATGCATATGTTGTGTCCAGTAAGTACTTGCTTTCCTCATCCACCATGGAATAGGTTATCTCTTGTATAGCTTCCTGAAGTACCCACTTTAAACTCTCTAGAGCTTTAACTCAATCTTCCCTGACTCTCCAATCGGAACGAGATAGTTCCTCCTCTATGCCCAGCGTCTGCTACACCTGGTTTTCATGGAGAACCGTGACCTTTATGCTAAGCCTAAGTGGGGTGGAGCTAATTCCACTCCAGGGGTGAAATACAGACTTAAGCCAGTCAAAACTATCCATCCCAACCCCAGTGATTGGCTCAAATGAAGCCAAGAAACATCAAACACATTGCTTTTATTGAGAATGATGGGAAGAAAGTCTTTCTCTTTTCCTTAAATATGAAGCTGAGGATATGTAACCCTGGAACGAGAGATGGCTACCAGAGAGAACGAGCTTGCCTAACAGTGACATCAATGATGGAAAACTCCGGCAAGAGATAAGGAGACACATAACATCATTTGAACCCCTAGACCCAGCTATGCCTGAAGTGTACTGCTGACCTTTCCAGTTATTTGGAGTTAAAGCGCTAGACTGCAAAGTCAATTTGAACCACAAGGTTGGCAATTCAAGATCACCAGTCAAACCTCAGGAACCTTTTACAGTGTCACTATGAGTTGGAATCAACTCAACAGCACTTAACAACAACAACAACATTGTCTAAACCAGTATGAGTAAAGATTCTGTCTCTTTCGACCCAATACCAACTTGGTTTTATAATTGACTTCATTGCTGGTCTACTTCCCCCCTTGAGATTCTAACTGCTTATATGGGGGAAATTCATTCTCTCTGAGAACTAGCACAGAATAGTTTTACTGTTAAGCGCTGTTGAGTCAGTTCCTACCCATAGTGACCCTGTATAGGGTTTCTGAGTTTGAACCACCGACCTTGCAGTTCAAACCGACCTTGTGGTCAAGTGCTTATCCTCCAGCCCCACACACTCAGTAACTATTTGTTTGAATGAATGAAGACAGTAACAGCAAGAAGCAGGAGAGTGAAATGAAGGTGAAAATGAGAAACATTGTCCAGACTGTGTTTGTAAAGCAGGGCTTCCCACAAGTCTGGAGCCAGAGCATCCAGAGAAATCCCCCCTGTCCTTGTCAGCCCTGGTTCCCTGGAGCATGGGCTCAGGGCTCAGCTCAGGCCAGCCCAGATGGGATCTGCTTCACTGGCACTCATTCAGGTTTGACTTACTTTTGCTTTGGTTTCTAAATACCACAAAAATAAAATAAAATACAGAACCAAGAGAGTCTTCTGAAACATGTATGTGGTTAGGATCTAAACTCTGGTCCTCAAGAACTTAACTGTCTCCTATACCTTCTGTTTGGCATCTCCGAGGGGAGAGAAGCTCTTTGGCTTCAGTGATTCCCACCTATCCTATTGTACAGCCATAAACTGGGTTCAGTCGTTCACTTACGGGAGCGCAGCCAAAAGAAAAGGTGGCATCGAGGACCTGGAAACATCCCAGTATTTCCACGCCAAGCAATTTACCTGAAAGAATAAAGTAATTCTCAGAATTTCAGAATCTAATTCAATATAATTACTATTATAAGTTATTTTCATTACTAGAAATTATTACTATAAACCTACTCAATGTTTGGTCCAAAATCATTACAAATAAGTGTTTTCTGTGTGTCAACCACTGTTCTAAGTACCTCATAGATATTCATTCATTTAATACACCCTTCTATGATACAGGTAAGGAGCACTGGTAGCATAGTGGATTACAAGCTCGGCTGCTAACCGCAAGGTCAGGTGTTCAAATCTACCAGTATCTCCGAGAAAGAAAGATGAGGTTTTCTGATCCCATAAAGATCTGCAGCCTTGGAAACCCTATACAGGGTCACTATGAGTCAAACCGACTCCACGGCGCATGCTAGGTATATGTGCCCATGTTATAAATGAGGAAACTAACGTAATCATTAAACAAACACAAAATTCACATGTGAAAATATACCTCACAGTTTAATTTATACAAGAACGTGGGATGTAACTCTAATGTCCCTTGACAGGTCACTGGTGAAATAAATATGGTTTCAGCATACAATGGAAAAGTATTCAACTCTTTTGGCATAATAAGGTAGATATATATAAAATATGAAGGAGCTCTGGTAGCGTAGTGGTTACGAATCGGGCTGCTAACCTCGGCAGTTTGAAACTACCAGTTGTTCCATGGGAGAAAGACGAGGCTTTCTGCTCCTGTAAAGATTTGCGGCCTCGGAAACCCCGTGCAGGGGCGCTATGAGTCGGAACCGACTCCACGGTACTTAATAACAACAACAACATATATAATATGAAATGATCTACATCCTCTACTTTATATACATTTTTTTTTTTCTTTTAAACCTAAATCTTTTGCCATCTTGTCACTTTTTATAGGACGGAACAGAACTGCCCCCATCGGCTTTCCAAAACTGGTCTTTACTAAAGCCAACTGCCACATCTTTCTCCTGTGAAGAGTCTGTTGGATTCAAACTGTTGGCCTTTGTGTTGGCAGCTGAGCACTTAACTTCTGTGCCACCATGGCTCCCTATTATATATATGTAAAATGAAACTGAACAGTAGGTATACACGCAGTTGTGTTTTCTCATCGCATATGTTTTATATATTTTTAAAGCTTCAAAGTCATTGTTGTCGTTGTTAAGTGCCATCGAGACACTCTGACTCATAATAAGCCCATACAGGGATTTCAAGGCGAGGCTGGTGAGTTTGAACAGTTGACCTTGCAGTTAGCAATTCAGTGCTTATCCCACAGCACCATACCAGGGCTCCCAATGTTTGTGAGTGTCAACACTACTGACATTCTGGACTGGACAATTCTTTATTGTGGGAGAACTGTCCCATGCATTACAGAGTGTTCAGTAGTGCTCCTGGTCTCCATCCACCTCTCCTCCCCAACACCATCCCACCCAAGGTTTGGCAACCGGAAATATCCCTGACTTTGCTAAATGTCACCTGGAGGACAAAGTTGACTCCTGCTCAGTGGAGGCATACCACTCAAGGGGCATTTTCCCTATATTGTTTGATTTTTTTATGATGATTATGTGTTTTCAGCAAAAATGAAAGTAATAAAGGCATATTCTAATTAACTAGTTTAGGATAAGCACTGGACTGCTAACCTCAAGCTTGGCAGTTCAAACCTACCAGCTGTTCCTCAGGAGAAAGATGAGGTGTCTGCTGTCATAAAAACTTACAGTCTTGGGAACCCTACATAGGGTCATTATGAGTAAGCATCGACTCAGTGACAATGGATGGGATTTTTTGGTTTAAGAACTGGGGGGTCAGAATAAGTGGCTTTCTGGGGGTAAGTATTCCTGCCTGCACATGCGGGTCTACTTCAAAGCAGGTCTCAGCTCCATACATTTGACCCCGTATCACCTTACCTGTCTGGCCAGGGCTTTTATTAGCATGCAGTGCTTCTCACCTGGCAAGTGGCAATTCTGGGAACTCACAGTGATCCTAGCAGACAGAGGAAAACTGCTCCCAAGGGTCCCAGACTGTACATCTTTACAGGAACAGATAACTTCATCTATCTCCCAAGGAGAGGCTAGTGGGTTTGATCTGCCAACCTATCAGTTAGCCTAACGCTTAGCCCACAGCACCACCAGGGCTCCTTGGGAACTGATTAAAAATGCACATTCTCAACCCAGACCTACTAACTAGAAACACTGGATAGACAATCCAAGGGGTTGCGTGGCTTCTTTAAAACTGTGCGAAGTCCTCTAATGATCTCAGAGGGGAATACATGTATACCAAGATTTATGCTTCTTGCCTGTGGGGAGAGAATCGGGTCTGAAACACACTGAGGCCAGAGCTGGGAAGACACCTTATACGTTCACTTGCTCACTCTCTCGGGATTCCTTAGAGTCAGCAGTTGACACTCCTCCAGGTGGAGTGGATTCTGGCTCATCGTGACCTCGGGTGTTAGAGTAGAACTGTTCCGTTGGGTTGCCTTGGTGGTTATCTTTACAGAAAACAGCCCTAGTGATGCAGTGGCTGCTCGCTGAAAGCTCATTGGTTCAAACCCACCAGCCACTCCAGAGGAGGAAGATGTAACCGTTTGCTCCTGTAAGGATATGGGTGTTGTTAAGTGCCGTCAAGTCTGTTCTGACGCATAGCAACCCTGTATAGGGTTTCTAAGGAGCAACAGGTGGGTTTGAACGCCCAACCTTGTGGTTAGCACCTTAGTGCTTATCCTATAGTGCCACACCAGGACTCCCCTGTAAGGACTGTTGTTGTTGTTAAGTGCCATTGAGACAGTCTTGGAAATCCTATGGCTGGCATATTGAGGTCATCCTAGGGGTCACTATGAGTCAGAAATGAATCAACAACAATGAATTTTAAATCTTTACAGAAGCAGAACACCAGACCTTTCTTTCGCAGCACTGCTGGAAGATTCGAAACACCACCCTTTGGGGTGTAGTTGAGCACAAACTGTACCAACAGCAACCTTCTCACTTGCTTCTTGTTAAGTGCCATTGAGTCTGTTCGGACTCATAGTGACCCTGTACAGGGTTTCTGAGGAGCAGCTGGTGGGTTTGAACCACCACCTGTGGTTCAAATAGACCTTGTGGTCCAGTGCTTATCCTACAGTACCACTTGTTGTTGTTGTTAAGTGCCATCAAGTTGAGTCCGACCCATAGCGACCCTGTATAGGATTTCCAAGAAGCAGCTGGTGAAATTGAACCACCAACCTTGCAGTTCAAATGACTTTGCAGTCTGACGCATTAGCCCACAGTGCCACACCAGGACTCTTAGACACTATAAAAAGCCAGTTCTGCCTCTGTTCTCCTACGGATTAAAGAATCTCTGTAATAGTTTGGAAAATGAAGTATTGTTCACATTTAGGGCTACCTCTAGAAAAGATGGTGGTGGTGGTGGTGTGCCATGGAGTCAGTTCCGACTCATAGCGACCCTGTACAGGGTTTCCAAGGCTGTAAATCTTTATGGGAGCAGAAAGCCTCATCTTTCTCCCATGGAACAGCTGGTAGTTTCAAACTGCTGAACTTGATGTTAGCAGCCCGACTCGTAACGACTACAATAGGAATGTTATATAAGGGGTTACATTCCATTCCAGGATAATTATGAACATGCAAAATGGTACACCCTGCAAATGTATTTTAAGGTTCAAATTGGAATGAGCAATCTGTTGAAACTTTGACCTCAGTAACATGAATATTTGGACTTTAAAAAAATTGAGAAGCCATGGCTCAGTATCTTGCCCCAAAACCGATCAGCTGCACATGAACAATTCTGGCATACATATATTTGAACACCACTGCCAACCCAGCCCAGCGACTTGGGTAGAGAGAGAAATCGAAAGGAGGAAAATGTTCCACAAATACCTGGTATGGTGAGAGCAGGGAGAGATTGTTCTCAAAATACTGGAAATTGGCCAAGAAGGAATCCACACTCATGGCTTCAATGTGTGAGCAGTTCACACCTTTGACCAGCTGCCCTGCACTAGAGAACAGAACAGCGGATCCAGAAGAAGAAGGAGTTGGCAAGAGAGAAGGGACAGGGAGCAGGGGAAGCCGGTTTGATGTAACACAGGCTACAGACATAGGGGACCAGCTCACGCTCACGGGAAATCAGGCTCCTCTGGCTTTAGCCTTCAGGTAAGCTATATTCTCCTACCTCAAGAGCTCATCCAGCCTTCTGGTGGTCCTTGACAGCAGTTCATACAGGAACAAGGCCTAAGGGAACAAAGTGACTGCCAGGGTTGATGGAGCATTCACTGTGTCCACCGACAACCCTGCCCAGTGAGGAAGGACCACTACAGATGGGAAAATGGAGGCCTAACCCACTTCCATCAATTTGAGTCAAGTTGTTTTGATTCCAATTCGTAACAGCCTTGTATGACAGAGTAAAACAGCCCCTGGGGTTTTCGAGGCTGTAATACTTACAGTGTCCTGGTGTGGCGCTGTGGATCAATCCGCTGGACTGCAAGTCAGTTTGAACCACAAGGTCGGTGGTTCAAGCTCACCAGCTGCTCCTCGGAAACCCTATACAGGGTCACTCTGGGTCGGAACTGACTCGGCGGCACTTCACAACAACAACGATGCTTACAGAAGCAGACTGCCTCATCTTTTGAACCACCATCCTTTCCATCAACAGCTGAGTGCTTAATCACTGTGCTCCTTTGTTATGTACCCAGACCCATAAATTGCTAAGTGGTCAAGCTGAGATCTGAACTGGTGTCCACAACATTCCAGAGCCCCTGTGCTTACACTCCCTGTCCTCTAAGAGACATTGGGCAGGAAGGCTGCCAGTTTGCTGCCTGTGCTTTATGAAGCCGCTGACGAGCTGGGGATGTTCTGTCGTCTCTGTTTACATCTCCACTCACAAGATCCTGAACACACAACATCCCAGAAAGCAAAAGTGAAAGAGACAGATGATTAGACCAGGATGGACTAGGAGATGCCATCAATAAAGTAACTGCCGCTCGCAGCACGCACTCCCTCAAATCCTCCCAGATGAGCACTCTAGACCAATACATAGTAGCCAGGGGAGTCATTTGTTTAAAGGAATGCAATTTTACAGAATACCTAACTTGCTGGTGTGATCAAGTACAGTATTCGTCTATTTTATAGACTCTGAAACGTTGAAGGTAATCCCCCAAGCCGAATAAATTATGAGGCAGAGCTAGTCAGAGGCTAACTCAGTGACACAGTAGCAGAGGGACTGAAGCACCATACGGCCCCGGGCATGTGAACTGGCCAAGAAGGAGAATTCTGAATGTTCGCTGTGTGGCCTCTGAGGTTTCCTTGGCACAAGGTCAAGTTCTGTGGCTCGCTCACAGCCTTCCCTGTTTCAGGAAATGGCAACTACAGCAACTAAGTTGCTGAGACAAAAATATCTTGAAATCATCTGTGGTTAGGTGGTTATGGGCCGTTGAGTCAGTTCCTACTCATAGCGACCCTGTATAGGGTTTCCGGGGCTATAAATCTTTATGGGAGCAGAAAGCCTCATCCTTCTCCCACGGACTGTTGACCTTGGGGTTAGCAGCCAGACTCGTAACCACGACGTGACCAGAGTTCCTTTGAAGTCATCTGTAGCGGGATGTATTTTCTAAAATGGCAGCAATCATACTTATTTCCCAGCATGCTCTTCCAGAACCTAGCCACTGCCCACAACAGAGGTGGAATCTGTGTTCCCTCTTCTTGAAGCTGGGTGAGACTTTGTGACACTTCAATGAAGAGCGTGCAGGAGTGACAGTATTTGACTTATGCAGTTAGGTCAGCAAAGGAGACACACATGAAAGTCATGAACCGCCCGTAGAGATAGAAAGAGATGACCTCAGCTGCTTGAGTCTTGTCAGACACAGTCTCCAAATGATTCTAGCCCCAGCCACCATCTTAATCTAACCCCATGAGAGACCTTGAGCAAGAACTCAGCAAGAAGAGAATCACATGATTTCCACTGCAATTTGGAGCCAATCAATTTGGAGGTGGTTTGTGACACCGAAAGAGCTCATTAGATTATCATCTTTGATACTGCTCTTTCATGCCCCACATCCAATCTGACAGCAAATGTCATTGGCTTTACCATCAGAATATATCCAGAATCTGACCACTGGGCCCAGCCCCATCCAAGCCACTATTATCTCTTACCTGGATTATGCAGCTGTGTGGGTTAATAATGCACTGGACTACAAAGTCAGTATGAACTGCAAGGTTGGCAGTTCAAACTCACCAGTTGCTCCTTAGAAACCCTGTACAGGGTCACTATGAGTTGGAATTGACTCAATGGCACTTAACAGCAACAACAGGTTCTTAGCACCCTCCCTTGTTTGCCTCAATTTGGAACTCACACAGCAGCTGGGTGAAACTTTGTAGACTAGACAAGAAGTCTGATAACATCCTCTCTCAAATGCTCCATAGCTCCTCTTCTCAGCCAGAGCATAACTCAGTCCTCACAAGGGCTTTCAAGTTTCCAGTTATCTAGGAGCTCTGGTAGCTTAGTGGGTACAAATCGGGCTGCTAATCTCAAGGTCATCAGTTCGAAACTACCAGCTATTCCGTGGGAAAAAGATGAGGCATTCTGCTCCCGTAAAGATTCACAGCCTCGGAAACCCTGTACAGGGTCTCTATGAGTCAGAACCGACTCCACGGCACATAGCAACAACAACAACAAATGCCTCCATAACCTCACTCCCCTCCTGCTACTCTCCTGTTGGGTTACGCCAACCCATGAGCTCCTCTTCCCTGACATGACTGAGGCCCTGCTCTCCCCTCACCTCACTCTATCCTGGGCCTGCTCTCTCCTCATGACTCTCCAAACCCTCTGGTCTCCTTTCCTCTCCATCTCTCTCCTCCAGCTCTTCAGCCCTGAACCTCCTCTCTTCTCAGGTCAGTCCAGCCTCCTTGCTGTTTCTCAGACACCTTGCTCAGCCTGTTCCCTCTACCGGGAACACTCTTCCCCAAGTCGCCTCATGCCTCCCTCCCTCTTCACCATCAACTCTGTGGTGTTCAAATGTCCCTTCTTAATGAGGTTATCTCTTATTATTTCTCCTGAGTCCTCCTTGCCATCTAACCAGTAACTATGTCATCAAGCTCACCCTGTTCATGACAATCCCCCCCACCCCCCACCCCCACACAAACACAATGTGTGTCAGACTAGAATTGTGCTCCACAGGCTTTATCACTGGCTGATTTTTCAGAAGTAGATTTCCAGGTCTTTCTTGAACCTACAAGCATTCAGTTAGCAGCTGAGTCCCACTGAGGGACTCCATTGCCACCTAGCGGGGTATACATTTTACTTATTTAATAATCTTATTGTCTCTCTCTCCTCACAAGAATGGAAGCGCCATGAGAGCCAGGCTCTTTGTTTTGTTCACTTGGTTTTCTCAGCGTATGGGCTGTGCCTGGCACAAGGCAGGTGGGTGCTCAATACACATTGAATGAATGAATCAGGTGAATGGTTGGCTGAACAGAAAGGAAGTTGGGGAAAGCTCTCAAAGCAGTATGTCAGTTGGGTTTGGATGTGATGCCCACTTGCTCTTATGAAGTAGTTCTATGTGGTGACATCAGCTGGCCTCAAGTAAAAGCTATTACCTTCCAGACCGTGGTGGGCTTCGGTTAGTCAGTTGAAGGCCTTAAGAACAATAAGAGAGTTTCTCTAATGCGTGTTCTGTCTGTCTCCAGACTACAAATAAGACAGTTTATCAAAACTCCCTCACAAACCATTCTTTCCATTACCTGATCTATGGATTTTGAACTTGCACTTAACAACAACAACGTGCTCTGCTACCTCCATGGATATATTTACAAGTCCAGTGTCTTAGTTTTCTCATGCTTCTATAACAGGAACACCACAGAGGGGTGACTTTAACAAACAGGAATTGATTCTCTCACAGTTTCGGAAGCTAGAAGTCCACACTCAGAGCCCTGCTCTGGAGAAAGTTCCTGATCTCCTCTCAGCATCTGTAGACCCAGCGTTCCTTGGAGCTCTCCATGGTCTTGGCATCAATCTTCCCCTGGATCTGGGAGCTTCACAGAGCAGGGACCCCCGGTCCAAAGGACCCTCCACTCCTGGCTCTTCTTTCTATCTTGGTAGTAGTAGGTCCTCTGGTCTCTGTTCTCTGTTCCTTTCTTTCTCCTTTTATCTCTTGTAAGTGAAAGGTGCTACCAGCCACATCCCTGGAAAACTCCCCTTATATGGGCTCAGTACTGTGATAGGATTAAGGGCGTTGCATCCCACCCTTAATTCTCTTACTGGCTCACCCCATCGGATCACATCATGTAATTGCCAAACCACTGAGCTTGAACCACCAACCTTGTGATTCAAATTGACCTTGCAGTCCAGCACATTAACCCACAGCACCACACCAGGACTCTAAGGCACCTCTAGGGGGGATTCAAATTAGCTTTTGGCTAGCAGCCCAGCACAGTAACAGTTTGCTCCACCCAGGGATCCCCTCTAATAGACAAGAGCAGCCTGTAGGAGTCAGTTATACCTGACTCCTCCGAATTTCCTTTTCTTTCAGGACCGTAGTGTTGAATCCAGGTTCCCGCCACAAATCAAAGAGAGACACTTCCTTAAAGAAACCCCCATGTAAATCGACAAGGACTGAGGCAATGTCTCCTGCTACCATTATCTGCCAAAAGTAAGAAGAAACAAAATGTAAACCAGATAAAAGATGTGTTGAGTAAGAGCCAAGCGCTGTGCCCAGGGTTTCACAATGCAACCAAACCCATCAGATCTACTCAGCAACCCTATGATGGCTATCCCCACTTTACAGATAAGGAAACTGATGCCTGACGAGTCATTGGTTGAAAGCTGATAAGTGAAATTCAAAACCAAGTCTATCTGATTTAAAACCCAGACTCTTTATAGTAACTGTAAACTGCTGGTTTATGCCAAACCCCTAAAACTGCTGAGATACTTACAAGGTTTGCAAACGAGTGTAACAGATCTAGCTAAAAAGCCCACTGTCCACTGGGAACCAGGAATGTCTGCATGGCTTTGCACCATGGTAGGGGCTCTCAGAAGCACTCTGAGAGCTTCCAGATTCATGTTTAGATTGGGACAACAAACTTTTTTAATATTATTCCTTCGAGATTTTTTTAAAGGCTTCCAAATTAGCTTGGCTGGGGAGAGGGATGGAGTCTGGGAGAAATAGAAAGGAAGGAAAAGGGGGCCATCTGTAGGTTCCACCCCATACACAGTAGGTTGAGATATCTATCCCTAGCTCAGACTAATGGTGCACAGACACAACCCACTCACAAAACCCCAGGAACCACATCCTCTATAAGCCATGGTGCTGAGAGCTAGAAATTTTCCTCGTACCTTGCTGAGGACTCCCTGGTGCTGGGCAGGCGACAGATCAGACACGTGCTGGGAGAGCGCGCTTCTCAGGGCCTGAGCAAGGTCCTTGTGGTCCATGCTGTGCAAGGCCTGGGTGCCAACGCCAGCCAGCAGCACGCCCATCTGGTTGATGCTGTGGAAAGACGGTACCTGGGAGAAGACAGATGGGAGGATGGGGCTCTGCTCTGGCCTTTCCCATCTTAGATCTCTGAGAAGCTCAATGCCTGCAGGTACCAAGCAGGCTGAGTGCTGGGGTTATTCATGACTGTCAGCAAGACTGGTACCATGCTTTCTTCCACCAGAAAAAAGAAGAGTTCAATATAAAAAAATGGGAAGTGGGATCAAAGCTCTGCTGGGGATTACCATGCCATCCTAGGCCAAGGAACCGATGCCTGAAAGCGTGACACCAGTTTGGCAGTCCCTAAACAGTTGAACATAGAATTACCATATGACCCAACAATCCCAATCCTAGGGGTACGCCCACGAGAAGTGAGGGGGGAACACACACAGAAATTTGTACACCGGAGTTCGTTGCAACACTTTTCCACAAGAGCCAAAAGTGGAAACCAAACTGTCCATCAATAGATGACACTGGCCTATGATTGCAGGGGCTGCAGTTCAAGCTCACCAGCCGCTCCTCAGAAACCCTATTCAGGGTCACTATGAGTCAGAACCAACTCAAAGGCACTTCACAATAACAAATAAAGAGCAACAAAGTCCTGAGAAACACCATCATGCTGAGTAAAATAAATCACGATAGGACAAATACTGCATAATCTCACTCATATGAGATACAAAGAATGTATAGAAATCAAAGATTATTCGTGTTTACAAGAGGTGGGAAGGAGGACAGCGAGACATCACTGAGTTTATGTTAATGGTGGGAGAATAATTAGAAAAAGGACAGAAATAATGATTTCCCAACATATAGAATGCAATCAGTGTCAATGGGTTTTCATGTATAAATTGTTAAACTGGCGAATGTTTTGTTGTGTGTATTCTTACAATAGGAAAAAAAGTATTTTAAAAAAGAAGAGATCAGTGACCCATAGGGTAAACCTGGCCAGAATATGCAGGGGGGTGTTTAAGTTGAACTAATTGACAATATCGAAAAACTGGAGAATTTCCCAGGAACAACCTAAAAGTCCATCAACGTATGAATGGGTAAACTAAATGAGCCATATGCATACCACGAGAAGCGAAGTTTTGATATATACAATGGCATGGGTGAACATTGAAAATGAGATCCTGAGTGCAATAAGCCAACCACAAAAGACAAACACCGAGTTAGTTACCAAGGTTGGGAGGAAAGGGGCAGACATTACTTAAGGAGTGCTAAATTTCTGTTCCTGGTGGTGGGATTATTTGGAAACAGTGATGGTGACTGCACAGCAGGATAAATACAACCAATGTCACTGAATTGCACATATAGAAATGTTCAATTGACAATTTTTTGTAATACATTTTTTACCACAATAAAAAAATGAAGGATTTCCCATAAAAATCCATATTTAAGATTCTTTCTTTAACACTCTGAAGATCAAGGCTACATTCCTACCAGTTAGTAATTGACAACTAGCTGCTATCCAGCTAACCAGCTGCTCCTTGGAAAACCTATAAAGGGCCACTATGAGTTGGAGCAAACTCAACCGCATTTAACAATAACAACAACAAGGATCACTTACTGATGAAACCAAAGACTTCAGTACGGATTAGAATTCAATGAAAAGAAAACCAAAATCCTCACAACTGGACCAATAAGCAATGTCATGATCAACAGAGAAAAGATTGAAGTTGTCAAGGATTTCATTTTACTTGGATTCATAGTCAACGCCCATGGAAACAGTAGTCAGGCTCTCAAAAAATGTACTACATTGTGTAAATCTGGTGCAAAATTATTCAAAAAAAAGAAGTCATGTTGAGGACGTTAGGTGCTCCTGACCCAAGCCA